TCTCTCTCTCTCTCTCTCTCTCTCTCTCTCTCTCTCTCTCTCTCTCTCTCTCTCTCTCTCGCTCTCGCTCTCTCTCTCTCGCTCTCTCGCTCTCCCTCCCTCTCCTCTCTTTCTCCTCCCCCTCCCTCCTTTCCTTCCCCACATTTACACTCCCGTTCTTTATTCAAGAGTAAATGATGTCTTTACAATTATTCGTTATGTCCCGACGTCACCGTCCGTGATGTCACAAACACTTACAGCCGATGTAGTGATAACAGCGGATTAGGAAAATATGTGATGGTATTTTCTGATTTATTTTCGTTGTCTCAATCTTTCCTCGGAATGTCGAGAGCTTTTTATCCTTTTATTTTTTTTTTATAAATGTTTCAGACAAATACTAACATGCCCGTAATGAACCGTATAACATGTCCATAGTGAACCTTAAAGTCAGATCGATTATTTTTTTTTTATTATTTTGGAAATTATATGAAGTAGGGATTTATAAAGATAGCGGCGCATTCTTACGTCTGTTGTGGCGGGCCAAGTGAAGGTCGGAATGCGTCGGCCTCTCTCGGGCGCCGCTGATGAGGTGGAATACAATTTATGGGATGCCATATTTTTCCTCGAAATAGCGACCTCCAATTTGTTGGGGGAAAATGCGCATTTAAAGCGGTCATTCTGAAGAACTGGCCTTGCTTGCGTGTGAGTATGAATGAATAAATGTTCGTGTGTGCGTGCGTGCGTGCGCTAGTTGTAATGCCCCCCTCCCCATGCTTGTCAACCCCCCGCCAGGGGTTAAGTGTAGGGTCACCCCCGCGCGGCCAGAGTCCCCGCCTTCGCTCCGCCTCTTGTTGTGACGTCATTCTTTTCTCCGCCAATCAGCTGGTGGAATTGAGTTATGACGTCAGCGTCGGATATTGAATTTATAAAATCCAGTTCCTTTTCGAAAACCGATTTTAATATTCGATAACGGCGGAGTGAGGACCCAAGGCGTAAGGCTCCGGGATAGTTATCCGAAACGATTTCTCTCGCGAAACTGGTTATCGCAGGACACATCTCGAAGTCGATGAACGATAACAAGCTACTTAGCCTGGATAAGTGACCGGTTCTATTGTCCTGGCTAAGGGGGACGGGGGGGGGCGTCCCTCTCCCTACCCCCGTCTCTCTGCTTTCTCCCTGTGCTTGGCTGATCTTCTTTTGTTTTTCTCCTTGGTCTTTCTCCTCGTTGGTGTCTTCGGAGGGGCCTTTGGGTGTTCAGGTAGATTTTCGATTCCTTAAATTCCTTTGTGCATCTTTGTTTGTCTGTGCTTTGCGTGTTGGAGATTAGCTCGTCTTAAGATTGGGTGTGGATGACAAGTGCTTTTGGCATCCTTTCCTCTCCCTTCTCCTCCCCTGCTTCCTTCTCCCTCTACCCTCCCCCTCCCTCCCCTCCCCTCCCTCTCCTTCCTCCCCCTCTTATTCTCCCTTCCACTCCTTCCCTCCATCCCTCCTTATCCCCCTCCCTCCTTCCTTCCCCACCTCCCTCCCCACCTCCTCCCCTCCCTCCTTCCATCCCCTTCCCTCCTCCCTTCCTTCCTTCCCTTCCCTTCCTTCCTTGCTTCCCCTTCCCTCCTTCCTTCCTCCACCCCCTTCCCCCCTTCCTCCTTCTAGTAGTAGTAACAAGCAGATCCTGTCAGCGTCAGTAAGGTCGCGAGTGACAGCTACACGAGCTTCCCACCAATTCCTTGGAAGGACTCCTAGAGGGGCCGCACCTGCTGGCCTGTCAGTCTACCTGTCGCCGTCTGTCTGTCTGTCTGTCACGCTGTGTATGTGGAGCGGTGCACAGGCAGGCATGGACAATGGTGGGGTCGGCGTGGCGAGATGGAGGTGCGGGTGACTGAGTGATCTGTGTAGAGGGAGAGAGAGAGGGAGAGAGAGGGAGATGATGGGAGAGGGAGATGGAGAGAGAGAGAGAGATACGAGATGACAGGAGAGAACGGATGACCGATATCGAGAGAATATCTGATTGGATCAGAAAAGGAGAGCATTATTTTGTCAGTTTAAATAAAAGATGCCTAAGTAGAGAGAGAGAGAAGAGAGAGAGAGAGAGAGAGAAGAGAGAGAGAGAGAGAGAGAGAGAGAGAGAGAGAGAGAGAGAGAGAGAGAGAGAGACTGAGAAAGAGAGAGACGGTGAGAGAGAGAGAGGACTGAGAAAGAGAGAGAGAGAGAGAAAGAGAGAGAGAGAGAAAGTCAAAAGAGAAAAAGATAAAGAAAGAAAGAGAAATTGAAAGAGAGAAATATGATAAGCGAGCCATGATCCTATTACACCCATCACGGCCAAAAATAGAGATACACGGTTTAGGAAAGCCGATAGCAGAGGAGGCGCCAGAAGACAGTAGCTGATAGGACAAAGAGGCAGCGTGAAGAGTCTGGCAGCAGCCCCCTACCCCCCCTCTGCCCCTACCCCGACCCCCAGCGAGTGCCCATGCCCTACCCGACCCCACGGCTCCCTGCCACCACCCCATGTCTCCCTTACCCCCCTCCTTCTTACTCCCTCACTTCACCCTCATCCTCTCCCCCACCTCATTCTTTCTTACCCACTCCCTACCTCACCCCACCTCACCCACTCCCTCCTCACACCCATCTCACCCACTCCCCCTCCCACCCCACTCCCTCTTCCCCCCACCCCCACTCCCTCCTCGCCCCCACCCCCCTACCGTTCCCCAAGGCCCCCTTTTTGAGGTGATCACTGACGCCAAAGCCTTCATTAAACTCGCATTAAGGCTGCATGACTTATTTTTGCGAGGGCGGCGGGCGCAGCGGGCGGTGTGGCGGGGGGAGGGGGGGGCGATCGGCTTATTGGTGATCGCTCTGCCATGCCCTTCTCGCACCTTCTTCTTCTCTTCTCACGCGCGAGGCCCTCTGTTCTTCTCTTGTCTCTTTTCTCTTTTTTTTTCGCTTTGTCTTTGTGTTTGTTGATGTTTGATGTTTGTCTGTCTGTCTGTTTCTTTCTTGCTGTGTGTTTGTGTGGTCTCTCTGTCTGTCTCTCTCTCTCTCTCTCTCTCTCTCTCTCTTCTCTCTCTCTCTCTCTCTCTCTCTCTCTCTCTCTCTCTCTCTCTCCCTGTCTGTATATTCATATTGTATATATATCTCTGTCTCTGTATGTATGTATCCACATTTTTATACACAGTATGTCTGTCTACGTACATAACTCTCCATCTACTTGTCCATCTATCCAGCCTATCTCTATTTGTTTATCTATCTATCTCTGTCTATCTCAGTCAAGCAATCCATCTCTCTCTCTCTCTCTCTCTCTCTCTCTCTCTCTCTCTCTCTCTCTCTCTCTCTCTCTCTCTCTCTCTCTCTCTCTCTCTGTCTGTCTGTCTGTCTCTCTCTGTCTCTCTGTCTCTCCTGCGAAGTCATTACTCTAGCCTTGTAGTTTTCCGGCCGGCACTGGTTCTGCCTCTCTGCCTCCGTGGCACTAGCAAGGGCACTTCCCTCCACCCCTCCCCCTCCCCTTCTCCCTCCACCATCTCCTTCTCCCTCCCACTCCCCCTTCCTTCTCCCCTCCCTCCTCCTTCCCCTTCCCCTTCCCGCTAGTAGCCCCTGGACAATAGAGTGAGGGCTGAGATTGAGAAAGAACGAGAAAAGGGTAAGAATGAGAGAGAGGGAGAAAGAGAAAGAGAAAGAGAGAAGGAGGGGATAGAAAGATGGAATTAGAAAGAGAGAGAATAACAAAAGAGAGAAAGATAATAACAAAAGAGAGAAAGATAATAACAAAAGAGAGAAAGAAAGAGAAAAGATAATAACAAAAGAGAAAGAAAATAACAAAAGAGAGAAAGAACATAAAAGAGAGAAAGAGAGAACAAAAGAGAGAAACAGAGAATGACAAAAAATAAAGAGGGGAAGAAAGTTAAATAATAAGGAAGAAAGAACGATGTCGATAGCAAGAAAGAATGAGAGAAAGAATAAGAAAGAAAAATAAAAAGAATTACAAGAGAGAAAGAGAATCAGAAGAAAATCACAAGAATTACGAGAGAGAAAGATGATTAGAAAAGAAAGAATAAGAATTACGAAAGAGAAAGAGAATAAGAAAAGAGAATAAGGAAGAGAGAGCGAGGCAGGGCGAGAGCAGCAACCAGGACCCAGCTGCTCGATCATGGTTTTATAGGTCCATTAAATACGTATTATTAGATTTACGAGGTTTCTGTTTAATGGTCGCCTCCTCGTGATATCAACTTCCAAGAAGGCGGCCCTCTAACACATGGGCGGCCGGATGTGTGGGCGTGAGGGCGTGGCTTGGGGGTGGGGTGGGGGGTGTCTGGGGTGATTGTTTGGGCGTGAGGGTGTGGTTAGGGAGGTTGGATGAGGTTGTGGGCGTGTAGCGTGGTGGGGTTTTGAGGGGTTTGTGGGCGTGAAGGCGTGGTTTGGGTTTTGGGGAGGTTGTGTGGGCGTGGGGCGTGATTAGATCTTTGTGTAAAGCGTGAGGTTGGGGTAGGTTTTGGGGTTGAGAAGGATTGTGTGGCTGGGATGGGCGTGGGGTTGGAATGGAGGGTTGAATGTTTCGTGGGCGTGAGGGCGGGGTTAGAGGAGGGGACGGTGTGGGCGTGGGTGGGTTAGGCGAGTAAATAGCCTATGGGACTGAGGCTTCGAGAAGGGGCGTGGGGAGTGATCTATAGAGATGTTTTGGCATGAGGGCGGGTTGCGGATCTAAGGCTGCAAGGGTGGGCGGCGTGGGCGGCGAGGTAATGCTACTCGCGCTCGCCGAGACTGATAGGGTGAGAGTGTTTGTGGTGGCACGCGTCGAGGGGCGGGTGGGGTGGGGGTCAGGGAGAGGGGTAAGAGGGAGAAGTGGGAAAGTGGGGGGGGGAGAAAGAAAGGGGAGGGGTTGAGGAGGGGGGAAGTGAGGAGGAAGAGGATGAAAAAGAACGGTATAGAAGGAGAGAGGAGGAGGAGAGGAGGAGGAGAAAGGGAGGAGGAGGAGGAGGAGAGAGAGGGAGAGGAGGGGAGGGAGAGGAGGAGAAGGAGGAGAAAGGCAGTGATAATAGTGGAGGTGGATTGAGTGGGCGAGAGGGACTGGCTCGCTGTATCTCCATCCTCTTCATTTCCTCTTCTACATCCTCTTGCTTCGTCCTCTCTTCTTCCTCCTCATTCTCCTTCTCTTCCACTCTTCTACTTCCATTTATTCCTCTTTTTCTTCTTTTTCTTCTCCTGTTCCTTCTCTACCCTACCCCCTTCAGTGTCGTTGACTGAGTCTGTGTCTGCCTCTTCTTGTGCCTATATCTGTCTGTTGCAGGAGTTGCAGCCTCCTTTCTTGCCCTCAGTGCGAGTGCTGGTTCAGATTGTGTACTCATGAGAGGGATGGAGATGAATGTGCGAATAGGGCGTCGGGTGGGAAGTGGGTGTGCGAATAGGGCGTTGGTTGGGAAGTGGATGTGCGAATAGTACATTAGGTGGGAAGTGGATGTGCGAATAAGATGTTGGGGTGGGAAGTGGATGTGCGAATAGGGTGTTGGGTGAGAAGTGGATGTGCGAATAGGGCGGTGAGCACTGGTTAGCGGGCGATGGGCGGTGGACAGGGGGTGGAATGCGGTGTCCTAGCCCTCGCGGAGTCAGAGGGTAGGACGGAGGGCAGATGATCCGTGGGCGGCGCAGTGGGCGGCCGTCAGGATGATGGAGGATGCACCCGCGCGGCCCCGACCAGCCTGGGAATATCGCACAAACTGCACCATTAATGAATTGTGTTTCTATTTATCATCGGCGTGTCAATGGCAGTCGCGGGCCGAGGCCAGAGGGGCACAAGCGCCGCCGAGGCTCTTGCGGCTCCGGGGCAGAAGGGCGGCGGGCGCTCCGGGCGTGTGCGGGCGACAAGCGGACGCATGACCAAATGAATGGCGGAACATGCACGCTGATGCAGCCGCGCGAGGGCCTAAGCCGGGGCCGTGCCATGGGGAAAGCGCCCTTGTGCCCGGGGGCGGAGGAGCGGCCAGCCGCCGGAGACGCCACATGCCCGGAGGACGCGGGGACCCTGATGGATACTTAAGATAACATACCGACCCAGCGGGACGCCGCGCCAGACAGTATGTGCCCCGGCCGTGGGAGGGGTAGGGGAAGGGGAGGGAGGGGGAGGCTTGGTCCTCCGACTTGACGCTCGAGGAATTTGCGGCGATGTGATTCATTCTCCGAGATGCGTGAAGGATGACGCCTCATTCTTTTCAACCTCGTTACACTTTATCTGTATTACCTACATTGTTATTATTATTAACATTATTATTCTCACTATTATTATCCTTATCATTATTATAATTATTCTCATAATTATCATTATCATTATTGTTATCATCATCAATCATCAATTATCATTATTGTTGTTGTATCATCATCATCATCAATCATCACTATATTATCATCATTATTATCATATTGTTGTCATCCCCATCATCCTCACCGTCATTCTATTGTCCCAAGACCCGTGTCCACCCTAACCCCCATCTCCTTCTCCCTTTCAGTCTGGTACCGACGACCGCGTGTCCGACATGGAGCAGGAGGACAGCCTGGGCCTGACGGGCGGCGGGCGCGACAGCCCCCTCAAGCCCGGCGTGGGCGTCTGCGGGGGCGGCATGGAGGGGGAGGACATCCTGGCCAAGCTCCGCCAGCAGGTTTCGGCGGCGTCGCTCTTCAGCCACACGCGGGAGAGCATCCTGGGCGGCTCCCCCCCTCCCCCCGGCTCGCCCAACAACAACAACAATAATAATAACAATAACAATAACGGACACAACCTCTACGACCGCCTCCACACCCTCCTGCAGGCGAAGATGAAGAGGGAGGTGAGTACGGCGCTGCAGTGCTGATGATCTGCAGCGAGATAATTGTAGACAGTTAATGATAATTATAGCTCTGGCACTATTGATAATGAAATCTGATAGGATTGTGATTAATTAGCGAGTGTAATAGGTAATTAATCTTGAAAGGTCATAAAGTCACAATAGTTATATACACAAACAAATAAGTAGATAGTTTAGTGTAGCACAATCCTTAATCCACGAATTACATTTTCAAGAGTTAATGACAGTAATGTTAAATCGTTAAAGCTAAATTCCGAATGATTGGGTGTAAGGATATAAGATATAAAGCTGGCCAGGTAAAGGATAGCTGCTGTAGGATAAGGTGAGATGGCTCGTATAGAATAGGATGGGATAGCTCATGATGCACGTCGTGGCTAGCCGGTGAACATTAATTGGATAAATTAATTGAAATCAGACACAGTTAATAAAAGGACGACACCCAGCCCCCATAGACGTCCTTCTGCCTCTGGACGTTCCGCTGATTGGTCCATGACGGGACGGGGGTAAGGGGGTATAGGGCTAAGGTAGGGGTAGAGGAGGGGTTGGTATGGGGGCGAGATGGGTAGGTAATAGGGCGAGGGGACGGGTGGGTATGTCGGCGAGGGGAGGGGTAGAGGGGTAGGGTAGGTGTGCTGTAGAGGGGTTAGAGGAGGTAGGGGTATAGGGGTTGGGGCAGAGGGGACGGGTAGAGGGGTGGGAGAGGGGAGAGGGGTAGAGGGCCAAACAGGTGCCCGAGGATGATCTCCGTTCCATAAAAGCGGATTGTGACACATTAACAGATGCGGAGATACGGTGTTTTCTTAAACGCGTCTCCGGCCGACTTTTATTGGTCGTTTTGTCTTGTTCCGCGTCACCGGCTCGGCTCCGGAGGCTTATCGTCTCCTTCTATTAAATGCCGCCAGAGTGTGGGTCGCTGTCGCCCTGGGACGCTTCCAAGGACGTTTTTGTCACTCTTTCGTTTGGTGTTAGTCTAATCTACTATGTTTTAGATAGGTTTATTCAGTTTTGTGGATTTTTATTTCTTGTTTCATTTGACAATTCATTATGATTTTTGTTTTTTGTTTTTAGAAAAAGAAAGGCGTTGAATATTTGTTTTTTTGCGTTGCGTTTCTCTTCTAGTTCTTACCATTCCCCCGGGAGATAGGTCGAGTGCTGTTCAGTGTCTGAGAGCCGCAACATGAATGTTTGTGTTTCTTTCCCGCAGGAGGACGGTGAGGGGGACGAGGACTCGCGCGACCTGGTGCTCCGGGCGGAGGCGCTGCAGAGGCAGAGGGAGTCGCTGCTGTCGTCGCCACAGGCGCTCATGAACGCCATGAGGGGCGGCGGGCCGCCCTCGCTGGTGCCACCCGGGCCGCACCTGCCGTTCATCCCCAGCACGGTCGGCCTCCCGCCCACCTCACAGATGCCGCCCACGCCTGGGTCGGCTGGGTCACGCGACTCCTCCGGCAACGGCACGCGCACGCCCTCGCACACGCCCGAGCCGCACCAGAGTCAGCAGTCCTGGAGCTTCGAGGAGCAGTTCAAACAGGTGAGTCGGCCTTCCTGCAAGAGATGCCCTGATTGCAATGTCGCTGCGAAGGCAGCCGTAGAACCTGACTTCAGCCTGCGCGGGCGGAAGAGGGCGTCGTAAATGTACAATGGAGCGATAATCAAACGGTCCTTGAAGTTATCGCATCGATGACCAGTTGACAATAAAACTTAATGATCATGGAATCTCGTTTCCAGCAGAATAAAAAGCCCTTTTCATATTTAGCGTTAAAGTGATCCATAGTCAAATATCGATGGTTGTTGTTATGATTAGATATTACAATTATATAATATCTGAAATATCAAACGTAATTATCATATCACACGATATGAAATGAAAATCGACGATTAAATTTGGAGCAAAATGTGACAACGAATGCATGTATTCGGATAAGATAATGTTTATTTATTCCTTTTATGGCAAATTATTCATGCGGGGTATGTAGTTAGGAGTACCCTGTTAACATTTATTTAGAATTATATAATTTTTCTTCTATTTAACGAGTCTGAAATACTATATTGTTTATCACATTTACCCGTAGCAACTAGAGCAGTCTTCTTGTACAGAATTTCCAATAATTGATTCCAATTTGACCCGTAAATCATCATCTAAAATCCTCAGTCTCTCCTTGTCAAATATGAGAAAGGTACCCTCATCCTGCGGTATAAATTTCCATTGTCTCCTAGAAATACATGAAAATTTCTGACCTCGCGCTCTTTGTGATCCGGAACTTCGAGTCAATATTCTTCACCCGTTTTTTCTGTTACCTGTGTAACATCTACATGCAGAATTGTCAAATTACATCCATTAGTGTTAGAAATATACAATTAGATGTAGATTCTCCCCGTATCAGATTTGAGAAATACTTGAAAATGCGGTTCATCTCCCGCGTTTTTTGATCCGGGTCTCCGTAGCGAGTCGATATATTTTTTTTTGTCCTTTATTATCATCTGTAACCGAAATCCTCGATTTATGACGTGTATAGTCCCTTATTGATTTTAGAAATACGTATGTATATATCCTTGTATCAAATTGTTCAAGTAAATAAAAATAATCGAACAAAACCTCTTAATCTCCCGCGTTTTCTGATCCGGGTCTTCGAAACGTCAATATTTTTTTTTTTACTTTTTATTCTTTATCATCATCTACATCCGAAATCCTGTATTTATGACGTATAAAGTCCCGTTATTGATTTTAAGAATAATTAATCTATAGACTTTCTTATATCAAATTGTTCAAGTAAATAAAGAAAATCGAACAAAACATCTCAATCTCCCGCGCTTTCTGATCCGGGTCTTGGAGTGATAAGTCATGCAAATTGCTGCCGGGATGCGAGGGAAGGTTCAACCGCTCGCTGGAATCCTCATACCTGAACCCGAACTCTGGACTGGTTGAACACACATTCGGGGGAAGAGAGGGAGGGAGGAAAAGCGGGAAATGAAGGAGGGGGGAAAATGGGGAAATGAAGGAGGGAGAGGAGGAGAATAGGAGAAAGAGAAGAAGAGTGGAGGGGGGAAAGAGGGATAGGAAGAGGTGGCGAGAGAGAAAGGAGTAAACACACACACACACGCACGCACACACACACACACACACACACACACACACACACACACACACACACACACAGACAGACAGACAGACAGAGAGAGAGAGAGAGAGAGAGAGAGAGAGAGAGAGAGAGAGAGAGAGAGAGAGAGTGAGAGTGAGTGAGTGAGTGAGTGAGAGTGAGTGAGTGAGTGAGTGAGTGAGTGAGTGAGTGAGTGAGTGAGTGAGTGTGTGAGGAGGGGTAGTTGAAGCGAGAAAGCATAAGGGCGATAACGTCCATGACGACGCTCTGCTTCTAGAGTCATCATCCCATGGCATTTCTCGATCGACCCTCCCCTCGCCCCTCTCCTCTCCCCCCCTCCCCCCAAACCCCGGCCGGCCTTGTCCTCGAGGCCGAGCGCCAAGGCGGGGCTTCAGTACGAGCGGAGAGCCGTTTGGCCCCGCGCGAGATGGACGAGTGATAACAAAAGGTCCAGTAATATTCCGGCGTGATGTGTTGGCAGTAACCGGATGATAGGTTAGGGTCGAGTAATAACAATCATTAAGGGAATGTTGAGAGTTGTCCATCAGCGCGGCGGCTCCCGGCAGCCAGTCACGGCGCTCGACCCGGCGTCCTGGCCCGCCATTGGCTCCTCCGCCCGGCAACCTTGCTATTACTCGGCCGGCTACCGGACTTCGATCTCGTCTCCACCTGCGCGATTATATCATTGCATTTATTCTCCCTCGCTTGTAATTTGCATGTGAAGGAATATTGGTTATGTGCAGGGCAGGATAATGACGATTCCCTCCCCCCCCCTCGCCCTTGCGCAAGTCGTTGTTTGGTTGTTTTTCGTTCATTTGCAGTCGTAGAATACAAAAGCGAGATTACTCAGACTTAATCGTTCTCCATCTATCCAGATAATTGAGACGAGTTGCAGATCATCAAATTTTCCGAGGGTTGTAGGTTCGCTTGTTGAATTTAAATGAAATTTGATGGTTTTTGGAATGGAGGCGGAGGGATAAAGGGGTTTGAGACGAGGCTTTGATAGGACAACCTCACCATGTTGCTCAATCTGCGAGTCATTTCCACCTGTCCCGCCGGTGAGGTGTCCGTCGTGGCGAGGGTTCCTTTGAAAGCAGAATCCAAGGTTATTGTTTCCAAGATTAGATAAGACAATGTCAGTTTATTTCCGCGGAAAACAGCAAAAAGGATCAAAAGACATCAGAAAACAATAGAACCAGAAAACGGCAGAAAACAGAAGTAGACGACAAAACACCAGAAGACAGAGAACAGAAGAAAACTTAAAAAAAACAAACGCTAGAAAACAGCAGAAAAGCAGTAGACAACAGCAGGCGAAGGGGGAGCCGGAGCACCAGGAGGCAGCGAGTGATAGCAGGAGACTCGGCTGCATCTGGTCCGTTCGGCTTTAACAGACGAACAAGTCAGGCCAAGCCGGGTTCTTTGTCGGGGCCGCCGCTCCCCTTGGCGTCGGGGCTGGCGGTTCGTCGGCTTCCGTGCCCGTGTCCCTGGCTGTGCATCTGTCCAAATCCCTGTCTCTGTCTGTTTATCTGTCCGTCCGTCTGTCTCTGTTCTGTTCTCTCTCTCTCTCTCTCTCTCTCTCTGTTCTCTCTCTCTCTCTCTCTCTCTCTCTCTCTTCTCTCTCTCTCTCTCTCTCTCTCTCTCTCTCTCTCTCTCTCTCTCTCTTCTCTCTCTCTCTCTCTCTCTCTCTCTCTCTCTGGCCTTTTCCGTTTCCCTGTCTTCCTCTTGTGTTGTTGTCCGTATTTCTTTGAACACTTCCATCCTGTCTTCTGCGAACCGCAGTATCCCCTCCCATTTGAACAACACTGATTAGAACCCTGATTCAAACCTGTTTTCTTTGAACCATAATTTCAACCTTTCTGTTTGAACACTGATGAGAACCTGCCTCCTTTGAAACCTGATTCCAACTAGTCATTGAACCCCCTAGTCCCTCCAACTAGTCATTGAACCTTGATTCCAACTAGTCATTGAACCTTGATTCCAACTAGTCATTGAACCTTGATTCCAACTAGTCATTGAACCTTGATTCCAACTAGTCATTGAACCTTGATTCCAACTAGTCATTGAATACTGATTCCAACTAGTCATACTGATTCCAACTAGTCATTACTGATTCCAACTAGTCATTGAACACTGATTCCAACTAGTCCTTAAACCTTTATTCCAACTAGTCATCGAACCCAGATTCCACCCTCAGCCTCTCTTGTGCCAGATGCCATGACACTGTCCCTGACATTCGTGCCCCATGAGTCTCGCTCCTTTTGGTTGGCACTCGCTGCGCAAAACCGTAAAGTCGGCAGGTGTTCCAATGCCTAATGAGGTGTTGTTGGAAGCATATATATATATTTGTCTAGTGCAAGGAGTTACTTAGCTGCTGGTCGTAATTGCAAAACCGAGAGTGCTTATTTAATTTGTTCGAGAGTATTGGGCAAGAAAGTGTTATGGTCTGCAGCCGTCTGCCTCCACAGCAACGGGTTATTCGCCGCCGTCCATGCAGTAGTGCTTCACAGTTAGAGCTCTTGCAACTGCAGCTCACTCGAAACGGTGACGTAGGTGTGAACAGCGCCTTCCAAAAACTCGTTATGCAACACTGCAGAGTATATAAAACTCTAATGTTTCCCAGATCGACACGCAGAAAAAAGGGGGTTAATTTGCATAGAAGTTATCAAGGTTTTTTGCAGGATGTAGATTGTGGCGTCAGATAATGTGTCGGGAACAATAAACGGAGGCGAGTGTTTTGGGCGAGCGGTTTCGGGCGAGGGGCGGCCGGGCGGCGAGTGTGCGGGCGCCGCTAATGAATGTGTGATCCTGTTTTATGATCCGGCGAGCATCAAGTGCCACTTTTATGTGGGCCTTTTATATCTTGTCTTTACGTGAGGTTGTTCTCCGCACCTCCGCGTCGCCGCTTCCCTCTGTGAGCTGTCGGAAGATTTGCGCTTGATACGTCGGGGAGTGCTTAGCGCCGCGAATGGGGAATTAGATGTCTCGTCCCTCTCGTTACGGGACGGCAGCGCTGGCCGTGTAAAACAATGAGGGCGAAGGGGTGTATCCTCTCGCGCGAGATTTACATGCGCTGCTTAATGGATAAATAAACAAATAAGATAACGAGCCGGACTCCTTCGCCGGGGGAAGCTCCTCGCCTGCTCCTCGGATGCGCACTTCATCCCCCAGCATCTTTTCTTCAGTCCTCTCTCCTCCGAACTTTCGGCCGAGGAAGAGGAGAAGAAGCGCGTGATGAAAAGGGGCGGCTCCTCCTCTCTGCTTCCTCCCTCGCGTGTCTCCACCTGGGGCGTCCCGGGGATCCTCGAGCTCCTCCTGCGGCCGCCGCGATCGCTCCGACGGAGGAGGGGAGTTCAATGGGCCCTGAAACCGTGGTGTTGGATAATGCACATATTCCCGCTGTTTATGCCTCGCGCTAATAAGCAATAAAGCCGGGCTTGTGGTCTCACGCCAGCTGGTTGTTGAGAGATTTGCATGACTGGGCGGGAGAGGGAAGGCGCGCCTCCGACGGTCGGCGTGCGCTCGGCCGACGTGCGAGGACGACGCGGGGCGAGGGGCGTCGGGAGGGGAGTGGGGAAGGGAGAGGGGAGAGAGTGGGGAGGGTGTGGATGGGAGGATAGGATCAGGGAAAACTTTCGGTAAAGGGTGGGTAAGCTGAAGGTAAATTGAGGGTAAACTGAGGATGTAAGTTGAAGACGCCACGTACCTGTAAGAAAATCTATGCAGGCTATGTAACTGGCACCGCAAGTGTACATACTGGCTTTCTCCCTGTGTAAGTGTACGCACTGTGTGATAAAGAAAAAGAATATCAGATTGTGAAACGGGTTCTGATATTTGAGAGCAGTGTAGACGAGATCAAGGAAATGTATCATCGTCACCATCATCATTCTCATTCTCATTATCCTTTGCCTCAGCATCATCTTTAGCAGCATTTGCATCACCGTCGCCATCATCATCATCACCATCATCTTTATCACCGTCTTTTCCTTCTACTTCGTATTAACATCCTTCGCCCTCTCTCCGAAAACCTGACCTGGCAATAGAAATGTTACAAAGTGGGCATCATCTGAGAAATTTGTTCTGTCCGAACCGGCCATCTCGAATTCATTTTTCTTTCCTTCCTTTCCCTTTCTTCTTCCCCCCCCCTCCCCTCCCTCTCTCTCTTCGTCCCCTCTTTTCATCCCCTTCCCTCGTCCCTTTCTTCCCTCCCTCTCTCTCTTCGTCTTCCTCTCTCGTCCTTCCTTCCCTCCCTCCCTCTCGCTTCCCTCTCCTCGTCCTTCCCTCCCTCCCTCCCTCCCTCTCGCTTCCCTCTCCTCTTCCCTCCTCCCCTGCCTTCATTCCCCACCTCAACCCGACGCCCCCCCCAGCGCCCCCCTCCTCCCATTCCTGCAGATGGTTATTGTGAGATGTTATATCATCTTATTTTGGGTCGTTTTGGGAGCCCCGTCCGAGCAAGGAATGGGTCGTAACCGCGGCGTCCTCTCGGCTGAGCAGTTTGAGTAATTATACGATGCATTACTTCAATGGCTGCCAAATTACACGGCCGGCGCCCATGACCGCAGCTCCTGCGCCGGCTCCACCTTCCTCCCATAACTACCGCACTTTGGCCGCAGTTCCACCGCCGCGCCGGGACTCCGCCGCCGCCGCCGCACACGACCGCAAATCTTCCAGACGAACGCCGCACGAACATCGCCGCCTCCACCTGTGCGGCGCGCGCGGGCGGGCGGCGTCACGGGCGGCGACTCCGGGCGGGCGGAGAGGGAGTCGTCTCGCGAGGTCTTTTGGGGTCTACCAGGTCCTTCGAGGCCAGCCAGGTCTTTCGGGGTCTTTCGAAGGCCTCGCTGGCACTCTGACACGCTCTCCCGCTGGCACCGAGACACTCTTTGTCGGCGCCCGAGCGAATCCTGTTCCTAGTATACGAGTATCTATTATGATGTTACAATAAGATTGATGCGGCAACAATGGCGGCGATGAAACAGAGTATAGAAGAGCAATCGTTTTACAGTTGGCAATTTTATGGCGATGCGTTCCATAATCTTTGATTCTGTCATTGCCATCGTTGTCGTCGTCGTTACTGCCATGACTATCACCACAACCATCACCATTATCGTCACCGTCATCACCATTACTGTTACTATTACCACAACCATTACCATCTTCACCATTATCATCATCAACTGTGCATTGCTCTCCTGCCCCCTACCCTCCCTTGCCCTCCCTGACCTTCCTTGCCCCTCCCTCCCCTCCCCTCCCTCCCCTCCCCTCCCCGTAGCAGTGTCGTTGTTGCGTGTGGCCGCCGCCGGATTGCCGAGGCGGAAGGTCACGGAGGCCGCCGGCTTTGGCATTCGGAATAATTACGGAATATTAGCGTAATAAGTCAGCCGCGCCGGGATCTGCGCACTTAATTAATACGTCTCGCGGCCGCGGCGGCGCTAATGGCCGGCGCTCCCTGAGTCCGACGCGGCTGACGGCAGGGCGGCCAGGCGGCGCTGACGGCGGGGGCGGCGGCGCACAGCAGGAGCGGCGGCGACGTCCGCGGCGTCCTGCACTTAGGCTGCGGGAACTTCGCTTCTCCGGACAATTATATGGAAAAATTAGCGTTGTGAGCATGAGCGGACGGCCAGGGCGGACCAACGTGTGCCTTGTGCGCGGGCAAATAGAGTTGATAGTCGCTTGACGGGCGCAGGCGAGCCGCGGAAGCAAGACAGGGCGATTTGAGCTCTCCGACGGAGGGCGCTGCGGCGGTGGCGACGTGGCTGAGGCATGCGATCGAGGCCCGCTATTCATGGTAGATTTATCCTTATGGATATAGGTGATAGGGATGAAAATGGCGTTCCAGCTTTGTGTTCTCGACGCTTATGATTGGTTTATGAGCGGAGTTGCAGAGTGGCGGCAGGCAACATTCGACTCTATGACGGGGCGGCCCAGGGGCGTCCGGGGATGGCGGCGACGTTGCGGGATGCGGCTTCGCTCTGCCGGTTGCCGGGGTCATGATATGCTAATGAAGCTTCAACGTGTGTCAATCACCAGCGGCAGACGTGGGACTGCACCGCCAACGCCGCAGCAAAAGGACGAGGATCTGGTCGACGCTGCGAGCGAGGCGCGGCGACCGAAGCGCACGAACGGCGGCGTCGATTCAAACCCCGATGTCCTCTCGACGCCGGGAGACGGAGGCCGGAACGAAACGCGCCAAAGAAAACAAATGAAAAGAAAGACAAATAAAAGAAATAAAAGAAAGAAAGGAAAAGGTCGCAGCGACGAGGGAACGCGTACCCGGGCCGAAGCCCCTAACCGCAGGGCATGCCGTATTGCAAATTCTTCATATGCAAAGTTGCAGTAAATTGGCCAGCTCTACGTCAAGTGTAAGTGTATAAATACCCTCAGACATGATTCTTGCCGGATACCTAACGACTTCTTGCCCGGGTAGATGATGCTACCTGGTGGGGACTACCTGGTGGGGACTATCAGGCGGACATTACTCGGTGGAGACAGACTACCTGGTTGGGGCTGTCCGGTAGGGACTACCTTGTGGGGACTATCAACCTGGCATTACTAAGTGTAGACTACCTGGTAGGGGATGTCTGGTAGGGACTACCTGGTAGAGAATATGAGGCAGGGGGACTATATAGTAAGGACTAACAACTTCCTATCAGGGGACGAACTGGGACTACTTGTCGGGGACTACCTGACGGAACGACCTAACTGAATCCGGGAACGACGCTTGCATAGAGACGTTAAAAAAAGAAAAAAATGTCGTTTAGCGTCACTAAAAGTTCCTCCCGAAAAAATCTGATAAATTATCTTAATATTAATTTTAAATATTTTGAACTGTAGTAATTCCATTCTTTGTGAACGCCTGGCCGATCATATTCGCTTTGTTATTGTGTGATGTTAGGGTCGTGTTAATATTAGCATCGGGGGTAAAATGCCTGCCTTCTGTCGACCTTCTTCCCGGTCTCAAGGTAAGCGCCGGGCATCTCCTCGGGGTCCGGGGATTATACGGAATCACACGCTTAAACGTTTTCTCTCTCTCTCGTTCTCGTTCTTTTTCTCTTTCTCTGTTTTTCGGTTTCGTTCTTTTTTTTCGTGCTCGTTCTTTTTTTCGTTCTCGTTGTTTTTGTCTTTCGTTCTTTTATTTTTTCTCGTTCTCTCACGTTCTCTTTCGCTCTCTCCCCCTCCCTCCCACTCTCCATCTCCCTCTCCCTCCCCCTTCTCCCTCCCACTCTCCATCTCCCTCTCCCTTTCCCTTCCCTCCACTCTCCCTACCTACTCTTCTCTCCCTCCCCTTCTTCCCTTCTCACATTCTCTTTCTCTCATTCGTCACTTAGAGCCAAATGATTTAGATGGCGGCGGCAGTGTCAGGAAGAGAAATGGCACTCACGAGGCACCGTCTCTGCACCGTCTCTGCACTTGATGAAAAGCAGCCGAGGTAAAAAGGCCTTTCTCGGATCATCATCCATCTTTTATTTTGGCTGGTTTTGAATCTGGCTGGTTTTGAATTCTGAGGAGACCGAAAAAAAAAAAAAAAGATGTGGTGGTGGTGTGTGTTTGTATGTTTGTGTGTGTGTTTGTGCGTGTGCGTGTGCGTCTGCAATAATAATCGGGGGACATTCCACACGCGGGAGGAAAAGGGCGCCTTCCTCCATTTGGCCTTCGTCAGGATAGATGTATTTCGAGGTCTTCCATTTTACGATAGTTTCAGCTACCCGATCCGGTCAGCAAACCGCCAGTGTTTTGGGGAAGTCATCAACCCTTCGGAAAGAGAAATCGAATTATTATCGTTTTTTCTCTCCCTCTCTCACCACTTTCCGAAACACGAGATAATAATAAACGCTCAAAAACCGATGTCGGTGTCTCGTTTTAATTGGATAATCAGT